ATCTTAACTTTAGCAGATCAAGCCAAGTCTTCCTGGAGATAGCCAAGGCTTCATAGAGGGAGCTGCTCTGGAAGGCAGACGTGTCTCCTGGAAGGTAGACATGTGCCTCGGAGTTGGATTACTCATGATGGACTCCACGCTTTTAAAAGTAGTTTCTTACAGATTTTTTCCTTGGGGGAATTAGAGGGACTTGGATCTCAGAAAGTGCCCCACTAAGTGATTCCGTAAAACATAATCTATCATTCTCTTGTTCTGACCTGAGCAGTGAGCAAGTATTGTTTCAGCATCTCCATCAGGCTATTTGATTGTTATCCCTTAAGAACCTCACCCAGTGGAACATAACTGAAGGAAATGAAACTCCAACCCCATTAATGATACAGACAATGCCTTTCACTAAACAAACTCAGCTTTCTTGACTTTTCCTTGCCAAATAGAATGGCCTCTGCCCCTCCCTTACAGACTCTGTAGGCACTTCCTGTAACTGGGAGTGGCTGTGTAGCCACCAGTAGTTGGCAGCTAATGGGATAAACTCCCACAGTCCCTGAAGGTAACATATGACGTGGGCTAGAATTGTAGTCACAAGTGGCAGCTTAGTGTTAATTCCAGTGGCACTGATGGACAATACATGCCTCCTAGCCATAAACAGACACTGTATCTCAATGGACAATAGAGTAGAGACCTTGCCAACAATAGATGAATAGATTCATAGCAAAAAATGAAATGTTACAATAAGGGAAATAAAAAGATCCAGGTAAGCAATGTACTGTGCCTCACTGTGCAGCTGGTTAAATGCTATAAAGGCCTTATAATTAGTTTCAAATCCTGCTATCTTCACTCACATTCCTACTGATGGACTAAAAACTGAGTGTGGAGTTGAGGGTTTGTCACTGCAAGATAGCAGAAGAGCCAAGATCCATCATCAAGTTCCAAGTTATTTTGGATCAGAAAATAAAACTCAAGACTTACATTTTCAAAAATGAGACACCCAAAATGAGTGGACAAGTAGAGCACCCCAAATAAGAATGCCCTTTAGAAAATGTAGCGCCATGTGTTACGAAATTAGAATCCCAAAAGACAACAATTAGCACTTAGCCTGTAAGCCATTAACTCTAACTACAGGACAGTCAACCATCTCATAGATAGATAGAATTTATAGAACACAGCAGGCAGAAAATTGGTTAGGTTTGCAAATTCTAAATGAAATTAACTTGCACTTTGGTTGAAATAAGACAACAGCCAGTAAGATTAGACTGGATTAGCAAACTCACCAAAAAATTGAATAAAATAAGACCTCCATAGAGGAGCAGAAGCATTATCTCATTGCAGATCGTTGATCGGTTTAGTCAGGTATCTTGTCTCTAACAGTGGCCGCTTTCCGATGCTTCAGAGGAAGGTACCCACCCCCCCCCCAAAACACACCAACCAACCAACCAACCAACCAAACAAACAAACAAACAAACAAACCGTAATGGTCAATGATTATTAAGGCTGGGAGTCTGGCACGGCGGCACGGAAGTCATGGATTCCATGACTTTCCAGGACCTCCATGACTTCTACAGCTGGCAGGTGCAACTGAACCCAGCAGCAGCAGCTGCGGTCCCGGGTGGCGGGGCTATCTCCTGCCAGCGGCGGCGATCCCTG